CAGTTACCTTAGGCAAGGCAATGATCCAGGATGGAGGACGAGGACCGGAGCTTGTGCTTGCCCTCATTGCGGCCATCTCTGGTCGGGGCTCGCCGGAATACACGACCTTTGCCTTGCCCCTTGTCAGGGACATTGCCTTCGAGCTTAATGTGGTGGCCCCGGCGGTGCTGAATGGCTCGGTGAATCAGCTGCAGGGGCCGCGTCACTTCGAGGGTTCTATGTCGGCCTCGAGGTTGGATGACTGGATTGAGTATGTGGAGTACCACATCCTCGTAGAGCACCTCCAGGCCCGCTACCCCGAGATCACCATGGAGTGGAACCGCCAGGTTCGCATGGGGGCTGGACCCACGGAGCCGGTTCCTTCGCGGCCGACCAACGGTGAGGAGGTGGCCGAGTTTAACAGGCTGACAGGGCAGGGCACCCGCCGTCCCCGCCCCAGGGTCAGGGAGCACCCGCCGCCCAACAGCTGGGCTGCAGTGGTTGTGGATGCCATTCGGCTCTATCACGTCACAACCAAGGCTTTATGGTGGGTGGTCTTGTGCAGGCAATCGCTGCATATGTGGACACTCGTCGGTACGGGACTCACACGACCTTCGCTCATCGACAACTTCATATGATTCAGTCGCTGACGAGTGACCTGCGCAACCTGACTACCTCGGTGCCTCCGCCTGGGTTTGACAGATGGGCTTCCCACATGGAGTGCTCCCTTTGGGAGAGTTGTCGAAATGGAGCGAGCGGCAGCACTGACCTTGCGGTGCAGGATGGACTGGGTCAGGCTGCGGTGGTGGTGTCCTGCCTTCTTGGACGAGGGGGCGTGCCGTGCTTGGTGCTGGGTTTGGCGCTTGGTGCAGCTCAACCGCCTGACGATGTTCCTCGCGTTCCGGATGATCCTCGAGAACCCGCCGGCCTCGGGCAAGACGTGGTCCTACCTCACTGGCTGGTCGCTGTCCTTGCCACGACGGAGAACATGGTGCAGCGAGGGGCTGATGGATCGGGCATTCAGGGGTTCCTTTTTGCCCTTGCGGCTTCACGAGAAACACCCGCCTACCTACGCTTTGTGGAGCAGTACCTCCGTGTCCTCCGCTTGCTTGTGCCCCTGCCGGACATGGGGCCTCCTCCGACTACGCCGGACTCGGGCCTCGTGGAGATGGCCTTGTTCGCCGACAACCACATGCTGGGGGAGTTCCTGGTGGAGAACTATGCCGCCGAGCTTGAACTTCACCACCAAGCGGTGCTTGCCGGGCGCCTCGGTACGGATGATGACCTAGGTCCGGCGATGGGGGAGACATCGCCTCTCAGAGACCGCCGCGAGCAGTGCAACCTTGTTCGGAGAGACTCTGCGATGCTCCGGCGCTTGCGCCAGGCGGAGCACCCACCACCGGACCCTCGAGGCCATCGACTTTCCTGGGTTGGCGAGGCCCTGCAGATGATTGTGGATGAACAGGCACAGGGATTCGACATGGCGCCGTGCCTCCCTCTACTCCGAGCATGCGTGGCCAACAGGCGCTTTGCGGAGTACGAGCAAGGGGCGGCGGGTTACCTTGGGGAGCTCGAGCATGAGGCGACCGAATTGTGGTGCGCGCCGCAGTGCCGCTGCCCGGAGAACTTGGCAACCTGGGCGGCTGTCATGGAGGAAGGGCTGTGGAATGCCTTTGTCCTGCACGGCCTGGACCTACGCGGCTGCAGGCATGTGCCCAGCTCATCGAGTTCCTCCTCCTCGTCTGTCCT